GATGGTCTGTATTGGCGAATATTAAGATGAAGGCTTATGCCTTGTTGATGCCTCTATTTATTGGCAATTATTTTGAGATGAGAGTTCTGCTCCAATGGTACCACATGCATTTGCATAGTATTGAGTCGCATTATATGATTGCATAAAGAAGTTGTGTATTGAGGCGGTAAATGTGTATATTGTTGATATTCCATTGTAATTATTGTTGTTTATGAGATGTGAAGTGGTGTTATTATATGAGCTGATCTAACATATTATTTATCATACGTTTTATTATATTGTTAGATATCTCACCCCTTTTGTTTGAATGTTACTCTTGCGTTGGTAACATGCAGGTAATCCAGAGTGAAGGTAGTATACCTTCAGTAGTTCGAGTCGGTGTCATTGCTCTGATACGTAAAACTCGGGAGGATGAACAATTGTTGCTTTTAGTTATTGCTTATTTCAGTTGTTGAACTTTCATTTGATTGTTGATAAATATGTGTTATTTTGAAGTTGTTGTAATGTTGGACAAAGATGTTATTATGATTCCGCTGCGTAGATGTTCAAGTTGTTGAATTAAGAGATTAAATTATTTTGTTGATGGTTCATCTGAAGTTTTAAAGTGTTATGTATCCACGTTGAATTCAATGTGTTTTTAAGTTGAATTTGTGGCATCCTGATTTGGTTGTATGAATTTTATAACTCTGATTTGTATTTATAATTGCCGGGTAGAATTGGGGTGTTACAGTGGTGCACTACACTCTTCTATATGGCTCCTTTAGACAACCTTCATGTTCCCTTTGTTCCGTTTAGACTACTAAGTGTGTAAGTTGGAAGTCTATTTTGCTAGGTGTTGGTTTTGATTTCTGTTGTACCAAAATAAAAGCTAATAATATAATCAATTTGTACTTTCAGGAGCATCAAATTTTGAGAAAATCTGAAGGGAAGAACATATGTTGAGTAATGAATGTCAAGAAATTAACTGCAGAAGCATCACCAAACGCAGCACGAACAACTTACCGTTTGAGTTGTTGTACAGCTTCTGTATTGTGAACAGGTTTACATAACTTCTGTATTTAGGGCTTACAGTATTACAAGTCTTATATAATTTGTACAAGTTGTTGTGGAAGGTGTGTGGATAGTGTTGTGTGGCTTACAATATTAAAAGTTCTTTTCTTTCAACTCATTTGCCATCTGTCATGAGCTGATATGGATAATGTTTGATATTATTAGCTTGAATGATGAAGTAGTGAGATCTCTGGTTACAAATATCATACCACTTAAGGGTGGTAATCATCCCAAATTTTCTCAAAGAACTCAGTTGATCACGGAAAACTATCAAGTTATGTGATTGATTTCCTCTTGACTTTGAGTTTCTATGACAATGTCCTAATCAAATTATATTCTTCATGTTTTGTTTGTGTCTCTGGATAATAGGGGGAGGACAGTGAAATTACTACGACTTTCAAGGGCCTTGACAGTACCTGAAACAACAGTTACTGTTGGAGATGCCTCAGTTGAGTTGGTTAGCGTTGTAGGCATGCAGCTGCTGTTGTTGGGGATCTAATTTTTATTTACGGTGGTTTACGTTGCAGGCATGAGTTTCTTAGAATAATAACGGAGATAAAGGTAATTACTATGAACTCACCCTCATCTTTTATCTATTTATTCTATTTGAACTAAAGAACATGAATAGGTGAAGAAACTCATGTTGTGGCTTTTGAATAATGTATGCTTTTGTTACTTCTGTTGATGTTGCAATTCAATTATATAAGGTGGTTTTTGTAATGAAAACTTTACGCGTAAAATAAGGTGATTTCAGGTATAGTGTACTGATTAGTGGGTCGTTATGATTATGTTCTCCTTGAGGTCAAATTTGATACATAGCTGATATGTCAATATCAACACTGCAGATTGAACCCGAACTTTTATACGGAAAGAATGTTATGATTGCAGCTGATGGGAATTTGTTGAGATCCATTTATCATGTATGTCGACAAGTTGATTTGTTGAGATGCATTATCATGTAATTCTCAATTTGCTACAGGTTTGGACTGTTTCCTCCGGCTTTTGCTTTGTTTCGTTTTCTGAGCACACTAAGGTTGTTACTGTTCTGCATTTAAATATCACTTTTGGTTCATGAAGTGTAAGGTTCATTTTCTCAATTAATTTAGTCGTTCATATTTGGCTGATGGACAGACATGGGCGGATTCACGTTGGGGCTAGGTGTGGCTATAGCCACACCAGTTTTTTCATTTTCTTTTTATATTATATTATACATTGAGGTTTATAACTAGGATAATTAATTTTTTTAATTATATATAAACACTAAGGCTTATTAAAATAATTAATAAAAAAATATTACTAACTCACTTTTCTCTCGTAACTCTTTCTTTCAGTTTTCTCAAATGTTTTAAAAATCGGACCAGTTATCAAAATGGTAAGGATATTGAATCAATGATTTATTGGTCGAATCATTGAGTCACTAATTGAACTGTGTGACTAGTATGACTAAACTGAATTAATACAAATAACTCGGTTAAATAAACGAGTCTCTATAAATTTTTTATAGATATTAAACCAATTGAACGGAATGACTCGGTCTCTAAAAAATATCACGAAACTTATAAAATTTTAAAATGTCATAATTTCACAAGTTCTTTATTTAAATTCAAGTTCTAAATATATATTCATCACACATAACAAAATATTCAAATAAAATTTGAACAAAGTTAAATTGCAACATAAAATTAATAGCAAAATAACGTGTCTAATATATTTAGTTCTAAAGAGAGAAAATTGATCCAAATAAGTTATGAACAAAGTATACAAATATTTTAATTTAAATTTTTCTTAAAAAATGATTAAACTAGCAATTAATCCACCGATGTTTGAAAACTGTCGAATCTCCAGTTTTTACAGATTTTGGCGGTTCTGGCTAGTTTACACCAATTCAATAGCTTGGTCGGTCTAGCAATCAAACTAGATTGGTGACACCTCTGATTCTCAATTCAGTCCAGTTTTAAAACACTACTTTTCTCTCTCTCAAGTTGTAACTTCTTTTTCTAGTTATCTCAAACCTCACCATCTCTCATGCTTGTCTCTTTCTCTCATATTTGTTAATCTTTCTTTTTCTTTTTCTAATTTTTTTACTTGGTTTAGTTGCATTTATTTATGGTGATTGAAAATCAAAGATAAAGGGAGTATTTCAATTTTCTCTTATTCTTTTCTCCTTTTTTAGCTAAACCATAAAACCACAATTTGTTAAAAAAATCAATTTGCTCAATTTCTCATAAATGATTTTCTTTATAATAAATTGATTTTACCGTTCTCTTTATAGTATGAATAAATTTTTTAAATGGTTTCATTGTTCTCTTTAGTTCATACTTTCTTTTATACTTAGCCACACCAATATATAATGACTGGATTCGCCCATGTGGAAAGGTTAATTAAAGTGTTCTATATCTGTTGACATATATAATTAGATGTTAGCTATTGAATGATTAAGTGTTCTACCCCATAAATTGTTCGCTGATGCAATTGTGAGGGAGATAGACCAAAGAATATTGACCCTCCTACTTTTGAAATGAAGGAAGATGATTGTACATGTTCTGAGTAAGTGCTCTATTTGCTTACTAGCTTTTTCTCATAAGGCATTGTAAACTCCTAAATGTGTTTCTCATTTTCCTTTCAAAAGTCTGTTGATGCTGATTAATTACAATATAATTACAATATAATTATATATATGAAGTGCAATGTGGACACATATGTAGAGAACAAATATGTGTTTATTGAACAATACTATTTGTGATGGAATGAATCTGAGGAAAATTGGATGAATTATGCAATATTTATGAGTCTTTAGAGATTTTTTAGTCATGTAATTTAATGATTTGTATATGGAGTTTGTATTTGGAACAGGTGTTGCATATAATTGTGTCGATATGTCTCATGCAAAGGAGCAAACTTATACTGCTACTCCTGAAATTTATGTTACTGTCGCTACAAATATTTGGCATGACTTTTTAAAAGGAAAAAACAATCACTTTTAATTAATATATTAATATCATTGATTGTTTCAATTATGCTATAATAAATACTAGATAATCGGAAATATTAAACAAATAAAATTAAAGTCAATAAATTTGTTTGATTCCTTTGCAAGCAAAGTTAATTAAATTTAAATGTATATGAATATGAATAAAATGTGAAAAGTATTTGTTTTAAAATATATTTTGTGAGTGTGATTTATTTTTCTAAGTAATTAATAAATAAATAAATTTATAGTAAATATATTTGATTATTTACAAAATTAAATTAATTAATTTAAATGTATATGGTTAAAGTGTGAAATAAAATTGATTTTAAAATTGATTTTGGGTAGGTGTGATTTTATTTTATTTTTGAAGTGAGACTGAACATAACCTATTAAATCAAAATAATAAAAAAAAAAGTTAAATGCATAATTTTTCTCTTGCAATATCGCCTATATTAAAAAGGAAATCGTGTATTTAACCAATAAAAATATGAGAAAATAATTTATTATTTATTTGAATATTTTTATATATGATAATAGTTTTATATACAGACAAAAATGTATGATTAAAATATTTTTATAAATAATATTAAAATATGAAAAAATAATTTTTGGTTAATCTAAATATTTTTATAAATAATATTATATTTATATACGAAAAGAATATACTACTAATACAAATATTTTTATAAATGACATCAAAATATGAGAAAATAATCTATGATTATTTCAAATATTAATTTTATATATAAAAAAAATATTATTAATTAATTTTTTATAAATAACATTAAAATAATAATATTTTTATTTTATTATTTCTTTAATTTGTCGACCCGAATCTATATGTACCCATCCATGAGTTTCTTACTAGTATATGCATATAGAAAATATAATATAGACCATTCAGATCGGAAACACTGAGCAGTAGTGGAGGCACAAGTGTAGGTTCCATTTCCGTTTTCCATTGTCGGGTCATAGCGCAATGGCCAATCCCTCCGGTGTCAGAAAGCCAATCACACATGTCGTTTTCGACATGGATGGTCTCTTGCTCGGTATCTGTTTCTTTCTCTATCCATTCCATTCCATTCATATCTTACACTTATCAATTCTCAATGAAACCCCATAGTTTGTGTTCTTAAGGATAAATGCATGAAGTCAAGGTGTTTGTTAATTTGCCAATTTGATATTATTGCAGACACAGAGAAATTCTATACTGAAGTTCAGGAAATTATACTTGCTAGATACAATAAAACCTTTGAATGGTCCCTCAAAGCAAAGATGATGGGAATGAAAGCAATAGAAGCTGCAAAGGTCTTTGTTGAAGAGACTGGAATCAGTGATTCACTTAGTGCCGAGCAATTTCTTGTAGAAAGGGAAGATATGCTGAGGAGTTTGTTTCCAACAAGTGAGCTTATGCCAGGTATATGTGGAATCGTGGATTAAAGGTGATTGCATTATCATAAAGACTTATGGATATTGTTTGATGTTAACTATGGGTACTAGGACTGACATTTGAAAAGGGCATATGAGTTGATTTATTTTTATAATCTGTCACATGCCTACACTTGGATGACTCTAGACATGTGTTATTGTCTGTCAAGGTTGCCGATATTTTATTTCGTTTTTGTTGATTTATATAAGTTGGCATGGCCTCTCTGTTATAAAAACAGGGGTAAGGCTGCGTACATCCGACCCCCACAGAGCCCATAAAATGAGAGCCTCGTGCGCTGAGTTACCCCTTTTATATAAGTTGGCATGGCCTCATAATTGAATGTTTGAATGTACATAAAGGATTTATTTTTTTAGTTTGAGTACATAAAGGATTTATAAACAAGGGCAAGACCACTCGGGTCACACACTTGATATTTAACTCGGGTCACGCATTAGTTGAGATAAAGTTTGAAAATGAGCGTATAAGTGGGATCGTCCTCATCTTACAATTTGGTTTTGAACGGGTTGAGTTGACCCATCACAAATTCAAATCCCTTCATCTACTCACTATGTGCCTGCTCAAGTAAATGTGATGGAAAACTCTTTAAGGCCCTACTGAATGCATATAGAAAGCACCAACAAGTTTTTATTCTACTTATGACACTTCATCCTACTTCCGGGCTGATAAACCTGTTCAAATCTGCATTTTCTGCGCAGCTGTTCATTCTTATTTTTGTCTCCACTTATGATATGTTTCACCACATGTTTACTTTTCCCAACTTATAAGGATTTCTCTGCTTTTTTGAAAGACTGAAACTTCATCCTACTTTGATTCAGCATCCTTTTAATCTTTTATTTTTCGGTGTAATATTGTAAAGATTCCTATTTGGTTCTTTCTTGTCTTTTCTCTCTCTCAGTTTTATTGACTGCTTCTCTTTGTTCAGTCATCGATTCTCCCCTCAATTAAACCATTGAATGAAGATCTATATTTGATCTTCACCTTGTAGAGTTGAACACTTCGACATGTGATTTTTTCTTTGTATAACATTTTGCAGTCTTTTTAAACAAGTCTAAGATTTAAGCAAGTCTGAAACAATACATTAAGCGTCTCAAATTCTTTGTTGGCCACACCTGGTGATATCTTGGAAAGAATTATGTTGGCACATGTTCAACATCAAGATATTTGTGCAACTCATAACTTGTAACCTACCCTAGCTTTGAATTCATAAAACCTTATTGAGCATGTGTAATGAAGCTGCCAGCTATTGTGAATAATGACACTTGTAATGCAAACAATGATGATAGTGTAATGGTTAACTAACTTAGAGAGTTAGTTAGATAGTTAGTTAGGGTTGTCTTGTAGTTAGTTATTCCTACTGAACTATATAAGGCAAACTGCACTATTGTAACACTTTGAGATAGAGCAATATATTTTTCCATTCTTCGTCTTCTTCTTCCTCACATGCATTGTTTCGTCTCTTGAACACTGAGCAATTGTTGCAGCATGATTTAAGCATGAATATGCATTTTCACATTGCATGTTCACATGGTATCATCGACCCGTGATCTCTCCTTTCTGCTGTGATCTTCAAGCTCTCTATCTCCTCCATTGTTTTCTCCTTTCTCTTCTGGTTCGTTCTTTGATTTCGTTTGCTTCATGTTCCTTCGTTTTCTTCTTCATCATGTCGTCAAATTCTGAAGGAAGTGTCCATGGCGAGTCTGCAATTCGCAACCATCAAAAAGGTTATCAGAATGATACCCTTAACCCTTATTTTCTGCATCCCAACGAAAACCCAGTGTTGATTCTTGTCACTCCAATTCTTTCCAGCAACAACTACCATTCTTGGTCACGCTCCATGACAATGGCGTTACGATCCAAGAACAAGTTGCACTTTGTCAATGGTTTGTTACCTCGACCATCAGATCTTGATTTCAACTTCATTGTTTGGGATATATGCAACACCATGATCATGTCATGGATCAAGAACTCAATAGAACTGAAAATTGCTCAAAGCATATTGTGGATGGACAATGCAGCTGCCATGTGGACTGAGCTCAAGGAACGATTTTACCAAGGAGATGTATTCCGTATCTCTGATATTCAAAAATAAATCTGCACATTGAAACAAGGTGATACTTCTATTTCTTCTTATTACACGAAACTCAAAATTCTTTGGCAAGAATTGGACAATTTTCGTCCTATTCCTGAATGTGCTTGCGATTCCACATGTTTGGCCATCATCAAGATCCGTGCCTACAAGGATAGTGATCAAGTCATTTGTTTTTTGAAAGGATTGAATGAGCAATACTCAACTATTCGATCTCAAATTATGCTGATGGATCCTATACCAAGCCTATGCAAAGTTTATTCTTTACTGGTTCAACAAGAAAGACAGAATAGCATTCCTCTCGATGAGTCGAAAATATTAGCTATTCCTGGTTCCAATCAACACATCAACACTCGTGATTCTCAATACAAGTCCAATGTCAACTCTCGAGGAAGAGGCAGCGCTAGAGGTGGCAAATCTAGTGACAGAGGTAAAGGAAATCGTGTGTGCACACACTGGGGAATGACCAACATACAGTTGATGCATGCTTCAAAAAGCATGGCTACCCTCTTCACCGGAAGCAGGATAGCATGATCAACCAATTTGCTGCTGTGACTGACAATTCTGAAGAAAAGTCAGGTGAGACTTCTGAGGCAAATGCACACGTATCTCATGGCTTAGCTTTTACTCCTGAGCAACACAAGGCTTTGCTGGCATTATTAGAAGATGCATCACAATTTCAGTCTCATAACATTAACCATTTAACCTCTCAAAATGACCTTCGCTCAGGTATTGTTTGCACACTCCCTACCTCATTTCATCCTGAAACTTTCATTCTAGATACAGGTGCCACAAACCATGTCTGTTTCACCAAGACCTGTTTTCAATGCATCAAAAGAATTCCACCCATAACCATCAAGTTGCCTAATGGAAGTCTTGTCACCACTCAATTTTCAGTCACAATCAAATTTAACAATGTATTTGGGATATATGCCTTTATATGCCTGATTTCACTTTTAATCTCATTTCTGTACCCAAATTGACCAAAACCCTCAACTGTCAACTTGTGTTTAATGATGTCGATTGTGTTACACATGATCTTTCATCCTTGAAGATGATTGACACAGCTGAATTACATGGTGGATTGTATCTTTTGAAGTCTCCATCAGTTGCCTTGCATCACACTCCTTCTGATCATTTCATTAACTCTACTGTCCATAAACCCTTAGATTAATCTACCAAATGTAGCCTATGGCATATGAGGCTTGGACATGCTTCACCTGCCAAACTCCTTGAACTCAATAAAAGTTTTCCATTCATTAAACCTGTGAATAATGATATACCTTGTGATGTATGTTTCTATGCTAAACAGAAAAGATTACCTTTTTCCGTTAGTACTCATACTTCTCAATCCTGTTTTGATATTTTACATATGGATATATGGGGTCCTTTGGCTGCTTCTGCACCATTAGATGATCTATTTGATCAGCATTTAATGTCAGAATAAACAAACCCTTCATCTTTTGACTTTGTTGCAACACCTAATTCCATACCTTCCCAACATAATCAGACAACAACTGATTCATTCCCTGATCCCATTCAAACCCAATCTCTAACTAATCCTATTTCCCCTAATTCAAACCCTGTTAGCCTTCATATCAGGAAATCCACCAGAAATGCACACCCCCCATCTTACCTTAAAGACTATCACTGCAATCTCCTTTCAGGTACAATCACCAATTCAGAATCAGCAGTTTCCAATTCATCTTCTGCCTGTAAGTACTCTTTTTCTTCCGTTCTTACATATTATTTCTTATCTCCCACTCATAAGCATTTTACTTTGAATTTATCATCCATTCATGAGCCTCAAACCTATGAGACTGCCATCTGTGATGTAAATTGGAGAAATGCCATCAATTCTGAGCTGACTGCTTTGGTTAAAAATAATACATGGGTACTTGTACCTTTACCTGCACAGAAGAAAGCAATAGGGTGCAAATGGGTCTTTAAGGTGAAGATGCATGCATATGAGACAGTTGAAAGATACAAAGCCCACCTTGTGGCAAAGGGCTTCACTCAAACTGAAGGATTGGATTATACAGACACCTTCAGTCCAGTGGTGAAGATGACAACCATTCGAATGCTTTTGGCCATTGCAGCAGTTCACAACTGGCCTCTTTTTCAGCTTGATTTTAATACAGCTTTTCTTCATGGGGATCTCCATGAAGAGGTTTATATGAAAGCTCCTCCAGGCCTCCAATTACCTCAACAAAGCCTTGTATGCAAGTTGCAAAGATCTCTCTATGGCTTAAAACAAGCGAGCAGACAATGGAACACCAAACTGTCTAAGACACTTATTGACTCAGGATACATCCAGTCCAAAGCAGATTATTCTCTCTTCACCAAGAATTCTCCCCAAGGTTTCACAATTATCCTTGTTTATGTGGATGACTTGGTCCTCGGGGGCACTAACCTTCAAGAGATACAACAAATCAAAGTCTTATTGGATGACAAATTTAGCATTAAAGACCTGAGCACTCTCAAATATTTCTAGGCTTTGAAGTAGCTTGAAGTGAACGAGGCATTTCCATTTGCCAAAGGAAATATGTCCTCGACTTACTCCATGATGCAGGACTTCTTGGTGCAAAACCATGCCCTACCCCCATGCAACCTCATCTTCAACTGCATAGAACCTTAGGAATTCCTATCTCTGAACCAACTGCTTACAGACGACTCATTGGTCGTTTGCTTTACCTCACGCATACCAGACCTGAAATTGCTTGCGCAGTAAGTAAACTCAGCCAGTTTCTTGACAACTCAACAGACAAGCACATGCTAGCTGGGCTTCATGTCTTGAAGTATCTCAAAAATAATCCTGGACAAGGCCTCTTATTCAACTCTTCTTCTTCATTATGTCTCAAAGGGTTTTCAGATTCAGATTGGGGGGCATGTCCGGATACTCGATAATCTACATCTGGCACATGTTTCTTTCTGGGAGAATCTCTCATAAGCTGGAAGAGTAAGAAGCAAGCAGTAAATTCCAGATCATCCTCTGAAGCTGAATATCGTGCCTTAGCGCACGCTACATGTGAAGGCATTTGGCTTCTTCTCTCCTTGCAGATTTTCGAATACTTCATAATACACCCATCATTCTTTATTATGACAACAAATCTGCCATGCATATCGCTGCTAATCTCGTGTTCCACGAACGAACCGAGCACATTGAAATAGATTGTCATGTGGTGCGTGAAAAGGTCCTAGCAGGCATCATCCATCTCATGCCAGTTTCTACGAAAGAACAAGTCGCGGATATCTTCACTAAATCCCTTCATCCTAGTCCCTTCAACAATCTTCAAGCCAAGCTTGGTATGATTGACATCCATTCCAGCTTGCGGGGGGCTGTGAATAATGACACTTGTAATGCAAACAATGATGATAGTGTAACGGTTAACTAACTTAGAGATTTAGTTAGATAGTTAGTTAGGGTTGTCTTGTAGTTAGTTATTCCTACTGAATTATATAAGGCAAACTACACTATTGTGACACTTTGAGATAGAGCAATATATTTTTCCATTCTTCTTCTTCTTCCTCACATGCATTGTTTCGTCTCTTGAACACTGAGCAATTGTTGCAGCATGATTTAAGCATGAATCTGCATTTTCACATTGCATGGTCACAGTACAAGCCCAAAGAAGAATGAGTCAGCCACATCAGCCAGGGAAATGTGAAAGCATGGCAATATTGGGATCCAATGTCTGTTGGGAAATCCATGAATCCAAGGAGCTAGGAGAGACTTGAGGTAACGGCTGACCGACTCACAATTGAGGGACTGTGACATGTATTGGGGTATATATGGGAGAATGAGTGTCATGCATGATTTGTGATTTTAATTTTCTCTTTTTCCCGCATCGTCCACACTTCGGCCTAATTGAGGTCCGAGTGTGAGGGTTGTGTGGAATTTCCGTCTTCATTGCGATCCGTCCCCAGTCGCCTAAATTGCGACATTTGGCTTGTCTTCATTGTAGCCTCCAACACCTTCATTGTGTTGGGTTTGAAGGGTGTGAATTTAGTCTCACATCGTTTAGAGATATCACCCGTGTTGTGTTTTATAGTTTTCTTACTCTCAATGGATTCATGTAGACTTGTTCTGAAATGTTTATGCTGAGTTGCTTGGTATGCCTTGGAACAACTTCTTTTTGATGACACGGGTTTAGAATTCCTTTGAGAGATTGAGGCCCGGCCTCATTGCTTCGGCCTCATTGAGGTCCGAGTGTGAGGGGTGTGTGGAATTTCCGTCTTCATTGCGATCCGTCCCCAGTCGCCTAAATTGCGGCATTTGGCTTGCCTTCATTGTAGCCTCCAACACCTTCATTGTGTTGGGTTTGAAGGGTGTGAATTTAGTCTCACATTGTTTAGAGATATCACCCGTGTTGTGTTTTATAGTTTTCTTACTCTCAATGGATTCATGTAGACTTGTTCTGAAATGTTTATGCTGAGTTGCTTGGTATGCCTTGGAACAACTTCTTTTTGATGACACGGGTTTAGAATTCCTTTGAGAGTCATTGAGGTCCGGCCTCATTGAGGTCCGAGTGTGAGGGGTGTGTGGAATTTCTGTCTTCATTGCGATCCGTCCCAGTCGCCTAAATTGCGGCATTTGGCTTGCCTTCATTGTAGCCTCCAACACCTTCATTGTGTTGGGTTTGAAGGGTGTGAATTTAGTCTCACATTGTTTAGAGATATCACCCGTGTTGTGTTTTATAGTTTTCTTACTCTCAATGGATTCATGTAGACTTGTTCTGAAATGTTTATGCTGAGTTGCTTGGTATGCCTTGGAACAACTTCTTTTTGATGACACGGGTTTAGAATTCCTTTCTGTGTGCAATTTTCGCAACACTAGAGCACCTCATCTCAAATTGTTTTGCATTTAAATAAATTATCTGATTATCTGCAATTTTAAATTGGGGATTAAATGTTTGCTCATATAAGTTTTTTCCAACTACGCAAGATTAAATCTTTTTGTTTGTATAGGTTCTGTGTTTTATTTTTTCCCCTATGCATGTTGATCATATATTATATAAATTCAACTGTAGATGGATGAATAAAGGTAAAAAGACTCTCATATCATACACTGTTTCATATATATTTGTCTATAATGAAATAAATAGCTCAATTTATATGCAGATGTATATTTTGATTCTCAATTTAAGTCTTTTAGAAGTAATAGTTTTATTAAAATATCTGAATTTGCTTGAGAGGAAAATACTCTCCGCCTTTGTTATTTATATCCAACTGTGAATATATTCAAATCCCTTGATTATAAAGATAAATAAAACTAACAAACCTAATCTTATTGACAGATTTTCCCAACATAATATAACTTAAATCTATACATTTCTTAACATTTCATATATATATATATATATATATATATATATATATATATATATATATATATATATATATATATATATATATATATATATATATATATATATATATAGTTGTCTGAGTCCTATGTTTTTTACATTAATAGTGCCGATGTGTTTGTATTCGTGTTGTATCAGGAATTCATGTGGAAGTCCATGCGTTATAGGTAAAAGACTACCACTTTTTGTTATAATACTGACGTTCTTTTTCATTTATCACAGGTGTTAGCCGTTTGCTCAAACATCTACATGCGAAAGGAGTTCCTATTGCCGTGGCAACGGGGTAAATTTCATCCATCTAGTGCCTTTTTTTGTCGGTTATGGAAAAGAGATTTATTTCATGTTATGTATTTAGAAGGACTTCTAATACAAAGTTGGTTTGCCAATTTGCTCACAGTTCTCACAAGCGACATTTTGAATTGAAAACGCAAAGACACGGTGAAATGTTTTCTCTAATGCATCATGTTGTTCTTGGTGACGACCCTGAAGTTAAACAGGGCAAACCATCGCCTGATGTATTTCTTGCTGCAGCCAAGAGATTTGAGGTAAACCAATTAGTGAATTTTGGAAACTTAATGACAAATCTGTCCACAAGGATCACATATATCAATTAATCCACATCCATTTTCACTGTCTTGCAACTTGTCATCTTATTATTTCAACTTGAAACACCATAAAAAATAAGATTCAAGTTCAATGGAAGGAGTTTTCGGAAATTTTCAAAATTGGGGAACTATATGTGTTGAGTATGACTCATAGTCACAAGAGGGGCGGGGGAACTGTAGTACTATGGTTCAGGGGTATACTTGTAATTTGGACCGTAGTATATAAATACAACACTTGTAACACTGAAATTCTAATTAATGCAAATAATAATATGGAACTACAGCTGCTCTGTAGTCGGAGACGTAGGCACACTTGGCCAAACTACATAAACATATATTGATTGTTGTTTGCAATTTACATTTCAATTTAATTTTTTGTTACTAGTCGATGTTCTAACAATATGGATTTAGAAACCGGGGGACTAATATTTGTGAATCAGCACAAATAAGAGGAGGGCCTAAAGAATATTTGAGCTTATGATTAATTATTGTATATTCAACTTTATTTTGTTCGTGATCATACATAGTGATGCTTTTTAGTTAATGATACAATGATGGTCAACAGGGTGGACCAGTAGATCCAAATAACATACTTGTTTTTGAAGATGCACCCTCTGGAGTTCAAGCAGCTAAGAATGCTGGCATGTAAGTGGTCTGAAGCACCCAATGATTTTTTCTGTTTCATTTTTTTATATGTTAACTAGGCTCTTTCCGTTTTCTGATTTCTTACCACTCATTTCTCACCTTATACAACTTCATTGCATGTTATTTCGATTAAACACATATATGATACATGCATCGTACAAGTGAGAGTAGTATAATTTTCTTCAATTTGTTGAGTTTTTTTGTTACATATGTCTTGCAGGTCAGTTGTTATGGTTCCTGATCCGAGATTGGACAAATCTTTTCATGGTGCAGGAGACCAAATTTTGAAGTCATTGTTGGATTTCAACCCCAGTGAGTGGGGTTTACCTTCATTTGAAGATAATGAAAGTTAAATGTGAGTTTTCAAGACCGTCAATTTTATTTCATTGGGGGCATAAAAAGCATTACATATTTATGGATTTATTGTTTAATCTATTTCCTTGGAGTTCTAGTTACACTATTAGATATTAATATTATGGTGCTTGGTAATAATGTTACTACAAATCAATATCGGCTCGAGATTTTAGTGGGATAAATAATTTGATTTGAATTGAATTTTTGTCAAAAAATATTCACATTTTGTTTTTGTTAACTTTTTAAATACGACATTGTTTCAAGTTGCAAGAGACATGTGTGTTTTACCAAATTATTAGACACATGTTGGAGAAAGAGTAGAAGCGAGTAATCCACTATTATGCTTATTAATAAGTTCTTTGTGTGCTCTAGCCTGAGCATAAGCTCGGAATAAATTCAGAGGAAATTCAGAAGGGTCCTTACATAGATGAGAATTTTTTCTATAAAAAAAATCTGGAAATGAAGAAAAAGTGAAAGCAAGCAATCCACTATTATGCTTATTAGTAAGTTCTTTGTGGCTTCGTCTGCTCTAGCCTCAACATAATTTCCATAATTCTTGGCTGTTTTCTTCACTTCTCTAGCATTATCATCAATCAACCCTTTAGCATAATCAAGATTATCAATACTGGCAGGGACGATTACCAAGGACATAATTGTAAATCCGGTGACGTATTACATGGTAAGATTGTTAAGAAACAAGATACATATATGGAATAAGGTTTGAAGCAAAGAAGATTTATCTTATTGTTGAGAAGTAATGGCTATTATATAGCCTTACATCAGTTACAGGAAGAGGAAAAATACCACGTAACCACTACTCCTACAAATATGGAATGAAAGCTAACTTAAAGGAAAATAAAGCTAACAGACCAATTGAATAGGTCTTTTATTAACATCAAAGAAACCACCCACTAAACCCACTAACAACTAGTAATACGTGTTAACTTCTGTCCTCAACATCCTCCCTTAAACTGCAACTTCTCATTTTAACTTCTGGTTTGCAGTTTACTTCAATTTCAGAGCAAACACCAAGAGACTTTCGCAACTTCAAGAATACTCCCAGCTTCAATGGTTTGGTCATAAGATCTGCTAATTGTTCTTGACTAGCACAATAAATCAAACTTACAATTCCTTCTTTGGACATCTCGCGAAGAAAATGAAATCTGACATCAATATGTTTACTGCGGCCATGCAAAACTGGGTTTTTAGACAGCTTAATAGTAGAACTGTTGTCGCAGTTAACCGATATGCCTTTACTCTCAGAAATCTGATTTAAATTTGATAGTATCCTTTGTAACCACACTGCTTGACAAGCACAAGAAGCAGCAACTATAAATTCAGCTTCTGTGGTGGATAAGCTAACCACAGGTTGTTTCTTTGAGCACCATGAAACTGCTCCAGAGCTAAGCATGAAAACATAGCCGGAAGTGCTTTTCCGATCATCTACGTCACCTGCATAATCGCTGTCTGTGTATGCCACAAGTTCATTTACTCCACCCTTTTTGTAAAGAATTCCAAAATCAGCAGTTCCCTTTAAATAGCGTAATACCCGTTTTGCTACCAACATATGTTTCACCGAAGGATTCTCCATGTAACGGCTAAGGAGACTGACAACGTATGACAAATCAGGCCGTGTAGCAGTTGTTAGATACATGAGGCATCCAATAAGTTGCTTATAATGTGACTTGTTCACCCTCTCATCACTGCCAATTTCTTTTGTGGTCTTCATTCCTGGTACTATAGGATTTTGCACAGAATTCGAGTCATTCATGCCAAAGCGTTTTAATACCTCCAAAGCATATTTCTTTTGAGATATAAAAATACTGTTGTGCAATTGCAGAATTTCAATACCAAGGAAATATCGCATCTTACCGAGATCTGTCATATCAAATTCTTGCTTCATAGAACTCATAAAAGAAGTGAACATTAAAGGATCATTACCGGTATAGATGAGATCATCAACATACATACTCACAATTAAGATCTTGCCTCCCTGGTCTGTTTTGATGAATAGAGTGTGTTCATAATCACACTTTTTAAATCCCATCTTCAGAAAATGTGTCTCTATCCGACTATACCATGCTCGCGGGGCCTGCTTCAGGCCATAAAGAGCTTTCTTTAGTCGGTATACCTTGTCTTCATTCCCCTTCTTGACATATCCACACGGCTGTTCCACAAACACCTCTTCTGCTAGTTCGCCATACAAAAATGCTGACTTGACATCAAGTTGGTAGAGAGGCCAACTGTAATGTGCTGCAGATGCTAGAATTAGACGAATGGTTTCCATTCGTGCTACAGGAGCGAACACTTCATTATAGTCGATGCCGTGTTGCTGTGTATACCCTTTTGCTACTAATCGGGCCTTGTATTTGTCAATCTGACCAACTTCATTGTACTTGGTCTTGTAAATCCACTTGAGACCAACAATCTTTCCACCACTAGGCAAATCTACCAATTCCCACGTATTATTCCTTTTTATGGATTCCATTTCAGTATCCATTGCCTGCTGCCATTTGACACTTTTAACAGCCTCCTCAAAAGAAGTAGGATCACCATCACACGTAAACAAGGCTAAGTTAGAGAAAGAATCAACAAGTTCTTCATTGGAAAGATCTTCACCAGTAACATAATCATTCATCCAATATGGTTGTCGGCGGTCTCGTACTGGATAACGTGTTGATGCATCAACTGGGGCTGATGTATGATGCTCAGGCTCATCATGGTCAGCGACTTGATCAGCATTTTCAGCCTCAGGTATTTCAGAACTGCTGCTGCCAACATCTTTCTCTTCTTCCCACTCTAACTCATACGCCGTGGAAGATTCAGAATTGGTGTGCCAATTCCAAGCCTTATCTTCTTCAAAGACGACATCCCTACTAATGATGATTCGTTTGGAAACTGGATCATATAGTCGGTATGCTTTGGATACATCACTGACGCCAAGTAAAACACAAAGAAAACTCTTGTTATCGAGTTTGGTTCGCTTAGCATCAGGAACATGAACATGGCCAATGCAACCAAAAACCCGAAAATACTCAACTGAAGGTTTGATGCCACTCCAGGCTTCTTCCAGGGTTTTATTTCTTACAGCAAGAGTAGGACTGCGATTTAAGATGTGCACAGTCCAATTGACAGCTTCCGGCCAAAAAGTGCGAGGAATTTGTTTGTTGGACAGCATGCTTCGAGTAAGATTCATTATAGTTCGATTCTTTCTTTCAGCAATGCCGTTCTGTTGTGGAGAATATGCGGCTGTCAATTGGTGTTGGATACCATGCTCTGCACAATGTTGCATGAATTCGTGAGAAGTAAACTCTCCTCCTCGATCTGTGCGTAGGCCTTTGACAGCATGACTAGTTTGTTTCTCAATGTGAATCTGGAAACTTTTGAAAACACCTAGAGCTTCTGATTTTGCAGTCAAAAAATAAACCCATGTTTTGCGGCTGAAATCATCGGTTAAAGTGAGAAAATACCTTTTTCCACTGTTGGATTCTGGTTTAATTGGCCCACAAATGTCAGTGTGAATCAATTGTAGAATGTGATCTGCTCTCCATGTACTATGTGATGGGAAAGACTCTCTATGTTGCTTCCCAACCAAACAATCTTTGCATGTCTTTGTTGAATACTTCAAGTGGGGCAGTGCAGTCACCATCTTTTTCTGAACAAGAGTTTGGAGTCCCTTGAAACCTAAATGTCCGTACCGACAATGCCAAAGATACCATTCATCCTCAGCAACAGTGTTAAAACATGTAGAAGACTTAGGTTGAGCCACGGCATTTAGAATAAACATTCGATTGGCAGCCATCTTTGTTTCCATGAGGAGACCTATTTCAGGATGAAATACTTTGCATTTTCCACCTTCAAACATGATAGTTAGGTTTTTGGCTTGCAGTTGTCCAATGCTTAGTAAGTTGTTCTTCAATTCAGGCACAAAGAAAACTCCAGTAATGATATGCACCCTACCATTTACTTGCAACCTTATATTGCCCATGCCCAGTACAGCCATAGAAGTATTGTTCCCCAATTTAACCGAGTCACGATAATTTTCATCAAGATCAGAGAAAGATGATTTCATACCACACATGTGATTGCTGCATCCTGAATCAAGGAACCATTGATTTTCATAAGAGTGTGTTGTAATATCAACCTGCGCCATGAGTAGCAATTCTTCTTGACTTTCAGCATAATGAGCCTCATTCTCCTTGGATAAACATTCCCATTGGAAATGTCCCAGCTTGTGGCATTTGTAGCATTCTACGGTTGATCGATCACGACTTTGTCTACCACGACCTCTACCTCGAGCTCCACGACCACGTCCCCGACCTCCAAAAGTAACAGCCAGAGCATGCTCTTCTTCAATAGAAGGACACATACGCTGTTCATGTAGAAGCAACTTGCTTTGAAGTTCATCAATGGTCAATGCATTTGTGTTGTTTGACTCCTCAATAAAACATACGACATAGTTGAACTTTGGAGTCAGCGACCTCAAAATCTTACTCACAACATCGCTGTCATCTTTGTTTTCACCACAGGCTTTCATCTTATTGACGATTGTAAGAATTCGAGAGAAGAGGGTCGTTATTGTTTCTCCTTCCTTCATATGCAGAATTTCATATTCCTTGCGTAGGGTTTGCAATTGAGCCTGCTTGACTCGATTCGTCCCTTGATACTTTATTTTCATGGAGTCCCAAATATCTTTTGCGGTATCCTTCTTGAGAATTGTCTCCAAGATAGAACGATCCAATGCTTGAAAAAGATAGTTCTTGGCCTTCAAATCTTTGAGTTGCAACTCATTTTGCTGCTTCTTTTGTGCATCTGTCAACACTGTTCCGACTGCAGTCTTAGGGATGCCTTCATCTATTAATCCCCAATACTCTTTTGATCGTAGAAAATTTTCCATGAGCATTGCCCAATGATCATAGTACCCATCGAACTTAGGAACTGCTGGTTGTACAAAAGAATTTTCTGAAGTCATGCTTGCAAGTATGGCTCACTAACACTC